CCTGTTTAAGACGAGAAATGAGGTGAAAAAAAAAAAGGCAGATCTGTCAAAAACAACAGCTTTTGGCTGCTGTTGCATTTAGGCAAACCGATGTTTTACCGGTAATTTAATGTGATCTTTGATCACAGAATGTCGGTGATTTTAAACAGCCTTTTTAATCCAATCGTTCTTTTTTCTTTTGCTTTTCTTTTGCACTACAATATTTATTTACTTTTTTGGCTTTTATAAAGTGTTAAGCAAACAAACAAAAGAAAAGTTTTTTTTTATTATTTTTTTGCTACCCAATCTAAAGGTTTGCTTCTGTTTCAGCAGCAACATCTAAGTGTGTCTCGTTGTTATCACTGGTTTATAATATTGCACCTGAAACTCGGTAAAACAAACTTAATCTGTTCGCTTAAGTGTAACATAGGCAAAAAAGTGATATTTAATAGTCGGCTGAAATATATATACAAATTTTTTGAATAAAGTTTTTAGTTCCTACTTTTTTTTTTTTTCTTCTTTGAGGTGTACATGTATAAGTATTTTAATCTGTTGATTTTTGTTTTGCAAAAAATTGATTTTTCGTCTCAGTACTGTTGTTTATAGTTTAACAACAACAGTAATAAAATTCCACTTTTTTTTCCCATTTATTTCCATTAAAAAAAATTACTGGCTAATCAGCATTGTATTTATCAGCATAAATTTCTTTCCCCTTCACCAGTGTCAATTTATTTGTTCTTTAGTAAGATGCGGGTTTGGCCAGTTAATTGGAATGTGTGATCTGTTTTTTCCTCTATTCTGATTTTTGTTAATCTTAAGTTTTCTGTGCTGTATATTTGGACGATTTCTGCAGGATTAAGTGCTGTATGAAGAAAAGCCAACACTAAGCTTGATGAGTCTTCAGGTTAAGATGCCTCTTAAAGTTAAGTGAGATAGCAGTTGAAAACTTAAGAGAGATAGATGATGGAAGGAAGAAAGGAGAGCAATTTTAAGTGAGTTAGTTGGCTGTCAAATAATTACTTTCAGTACTGTTGTTATAGTTGCCACCTTCTTCTCTTCCGTGTTTCTTTGCCGACAGAAAAAAAACGTTTTTGAATTTTTTTCAATTTCTTTATCTATTAATCTTTCTATAACGCTGCTCTTAGTTGTTGTCAAAAAATATTCTGAACAAATATTGCGTGACACTCATTGTTACATTTCAAACCGGTGATGGTGTAAGACATATTTTATACATCTAATGAATTTTGAGCAATTTTACTTTGATTACAGCAACTAAATTTTGATCATAAATAGACGTTTGCAAAATGCATAGTTTAGTTAAAAAGAAGTTAGCTAATAATGACAAACTAAAAAAATTGTTACATTGAGTAATCATTTTTGCCTTTTCTTTCCCAATCCTCTTCTTTTATCTTCTTATTTAATCAGATTTATAGTGCAAGCTACCAGCAAATAAATTTTTTTGAACGGGTATATACGTGAAATACAGATTTCTTGGAATGTACAGCTCTAGCTTAGGCTACGTGGTTAATGATCAGTTGGTTATGCACAAAAAATTTATAGCCTTTAGCAACATTGATGGATGGAAAACGTCTCAATGAACAGCAGATCACTATGAAGCATACACACACACACACAAAAACACATAAACATAGGGTGTTCATGGTTGCTGCTGTTATTATTTGAGTTTTTGTTGCAAGTACGCATCTTTAGCTGCTGAAAAACTGCACGTATATCGTTGCAATAGTTGCAGCATATAATTCCACCTATTCAATTTCTTCTCAGTTTCAGTCTACAGCGCCACTCAAGCTGCTAGTGCTTTATCGTTGATCTCCATTGAACCTTCGCCATCATGGTAGGATTATACACACATCTAAATTCAGTTCAATTTCTTTACTCATAGTTTTATATTTTAGGCAACACTTATGATTTTTTATCTGAAATTTATTTGGCAATTATTTTTTTTCTTTTTCTACTTTATTTTTTCTGTTTTAAAGCTAAAGTTATAGTACTTGTTTACTTATGTAATTCAGTAACAAATCAACTTTATTTGATTTATTGATGTCACAAAACTTGATATACTTCACTGATTGACTTCTTTGTCGCGGTATACCTTGTTTACAAAATTTATTTTGTATTTTAGCCAGCTATTGAAAGAAAAAACATTGATCTTGCTCCGTTGAAAAAGGCTAATGTACCCATTTTTTTCATCGTCGGTTAGTTATTTAATGATTCAAATTGTGTTTATTCTTTCAATTGTTCAAGAAAGCTAATTTTACTAAAGAATACTGCTCTTTTTCCGTGTTTTATTAGAAAAATAAAATAAATTAAGAAGCTGATTTTCAACTTTTGTAAAGTTATGGCAAATTAAAACTGTTGCATTTAAGGCGGCCCTGGGTCTGGGAAAGGTACCCAATGTGACAAAATTGTCGAAAAGTATCATCTGACCCATCTAAGCTCTGGAGATCTTTTACGGGCTGAAGTCAAGTCTGGTTCCCCACGTGGCGCCGAACTCAATAAAATTATGGAAAATGGAGAATTAGTACCACTTGTAAGTTCCTTAAAAATGTTCATTTTTTGTTCACTCTACTGTCGGATGTAAATAGATTTAATTCAATAATACAAGTGAAAATTATAGTACACTTTTCTGCTTAATTAGCAGTTTAGAAATGTTAGACTCTAAGCTTTTAAACCAAGGGTATAGAAAATTGCTTTTCACTTTTACTGTTTTTTCCGGCGTTTTAAATGTTTATAACTTTAAAAGTAGTTAATTAGTTGAGGTAATTAACGTGCAGATCAATATAATCGACTTATTAAAAATAAAACATTCGAAGTTTAAAATGCAAAAAATTTGATTGTTTAGCTCTTCTAGAACTATGGAAAAAGTAATAAACAATCGTGTAACAAATGCTTATTTCAGGAAGTTGTTTTGGACCTTATCAAGGAAGCTATGGTAAGCGCAGTCGCTAAAGGCAGTAAGGGTTTCTTGATTGACGGTTACCCAAGAGAAATCAAACAGGGTGACCAATTTGAGAGTGAGGTTTGTTTTAAAAAATTTTATTCTAATGTTTCTTTGAACAATTTTTCACTTTTAAACTTTTTTCTTCAAATTTTTTTTGGTTTTTTTTCGTCACTTTGCTCTCATTTACATGGTACTCGCTTTTTGTAAACTTTAAAACACTATTTTTTTTCCTCGAGTGTTTCATATTTTGATTTTTTGTTAAGGAATGAAGAAAACTGCATCAGCAAATGTAAACTAACACAGCTTTGACTAACATTTTTAGTTTCAAAATTGCAAACAAAAAATTCTATCAGCTGTTAGTTATTCAGATTCAAATAATAAAAAAATAACAATAAATATAAAAAAAACTGAAATTGTAAACACCTAAATTTACTACTTTTAATACCTTTTAAATTTTGTTGTTTAATAATTGCTGCTGCTGATGTCACAGGTAGCGTCATATTTATAGACGCCTAAAAAGTTCTTTTATATATTTTTCTTTTATGCATCGATTAAAATCTAATCAATGGTTCGAAGAGGTTAAAGATTTATGTTCTTCAGCTGTTAATTCAATCTTTC